AAGTTACATAGGTATTTACGGATTACAGAAGTACGTAATGGGTCCAGGGACTGGGCCCCCAAAGTTTTGATAGCTGAACTAGGTACAAAGGTAATGAACTCACAAGTTACAAAGATAATGAATCCTGTAAGAATGATTACTTACGTTTATACATGGCTACAATCATGAACAAATTATAGAGTAATGAGCAATTCACACTGGTATACCACATCATCAGATCTTTGTTCATACTTTTCTGCATCACAATGTAGCCTGCATCTACTTGAACAAGTGGCATACAGCCTGCTCTTTGTATCTTCCTCCGTCTAGAGTATTATCTATTCCAGATGTTGCATTTCTGGTTTCTTCCTTACCACCACCTCTTCTCTTATTAGATGATTGTAAAGCTCATCACTTACTCTTGATGGATCTCACTGTAACTCTAGAGGTGATCAGTCAGAGGCTCTTCTCACTTCTCTTCCTTTCTATGCTTCAAATACGGGTACTATAACTCGTGTTGACCTCGCACACAATCTCTATCTCTCTTGCACTTATCTCTCAGTTTTCTTCTCAAATGCACTCGACTTCACCTGGACTGTACTCCCAGATTTACACGACAGCAATTGTTTTCCTATCCTCCTTACCTCCCATTCGTATTCTTACCCTTCTCGAAGCCCACGTTGACAATTTGAATGGGCGAATTGGGACATTTACTCTTGTCAAACCGTTTTTTAGTGAGGAATTTTCTTCGTCCTCCACTGATGAGATATTACAACCATTTTTGACATCAGTTTCAACCGCGGATTCACATTCAGTCAAACCTCTCGAGTAGGCACCCTCAGAAATGCATGCTTTGGTGGTTTGCTGCTTGTACCCGTGCAGTACGTTTGAAATGTGCAATAGAGCCTCAGCACAACGCTTCGATTTGAAGCGGGCAAGAGCAGCTGCCCATTGTGTTATCCATGAAGCTAAATGCGCTTGTTGGCGGGATTATGTTTCTACCGTTACATAGGCTTCCTCTATGAGTGTAGTTAGGAAAAAATCCCGAAATTGTGTTGCAGGTACTGTGAAGGCTTACTCAGCCCTGTAACAACTTCAGACAGTATTACCAAGGCTGGCTCATCAGGAAAATTAAC